ATTGGCAAGGGGGTAAACTCAAATAACACAACAACTGTTGTTGAACTCAACAAAAAGAAAGCACTATGACATACAGAGTATAGTATAGGATAATGTGCAGTAGAAAGTGAGATGGCAAAGGTTGCACTGGGGTGAGGCAGAAAGTGTGGCAGCAGAAGTTTTGCTGAGATGCAGGACTAAGATTGACATGATATGTTGTATAGTAAAAAGCACAGCAGTGGAAGTTTTGATGAGATGCAACACTAAGGCAGACATGGTATAGCATGTGGCAGAAAGCATGACAGCAGAAGTTTTAATGAGATGTGACACTAAGATAGACATGATATAGCACATAGCAGAAAGAACAGCAGTGGAAGTTTTGATGGAGTGCAACATCAAGGCAAACATGGTATAGCACATGATAGAAAGCATGGTGGCAGAAGTTTTGATGGGGTGCAGCACTAAGATCAACATGATATGGTGCACAGTGGGAAACACAGTGATGAAAGTTTTGATGGGGTGTGACACTAAGATGGACATGATATAGTACACAGCAGAAAGCATGGCAGCAGAAGTTTTGATGAGATGCAGCATTAAAACAGACATAATATAGTGTGTGATGTCAACAGTGCGGCTGACTAATATAATCCTGACTAATATTTTTGATGAGGTGCAGCATTATGAGTCAGCAGCCAATGACAGAGTCTACCCAAAAGCAGCTGACTAACATTTTTAATATAATATGGTGCTAACAGCCAACAGCCAAAGAGAACAATTTCTCTATGCTCAACTCACAATATACAATATAACAAGATTTTGGAGTGCATCATGGCATGCTCATCTAGTAGAAGCTCCAACTTATATAAAGATATGCATGACTTAAAATTCTACACTCTACTCAATTGTAATATGAAAAGAAGATCTAATGTTAGCTTTTTGAAAACATAAAGTTGACTCTTTAAAATGAGAACTGTAGCATGAATCTCTTTTCTCTTACTGATATTTTCAGAAGTCTTTGTCTCTAATTTTCACTTTCACTTTGACTTTTCTGCAGCTTCATTCACATTTATATTTTTTACATGTGGCTTCCACATCTTCTTCCAATCATAATCTTTACTGTTCCACCTGTGTTTCTCTGCCCATGTCTGTTCAATATCTACCACAGTGTTCTTCACCAGATTAATGCCTGGTGCCAGCAGAAACTTCAGGGGTTTGGACTGAAGAGTGGAAGCTGAAATATTGCATTTCAAAAAGAAAGAAGACTCAGGAGGACTGCTTTCAACAGCTGTTTAATAGAATTAGCTATTTGAAAGAATCTCAAAGTGCAAAAAAAGATATAGAGTACTCACACAGAAATGAAGCACTTTCTAAGAAATGTATTATAATTAGTCATCTTGAAAACAGAGAATTCAAAATATAAACCAAATTCATTGCATAAAAATAATATACATTGATCAACTATTTAGATTTTCACTCACATTCCTTTTTAACTACATCTCTGTGCTTTCCCAAAAACAATGAAGCAGCCAGCTTAACTGGACTTGAACTTTCAGAATCACCCACTTGAGACTTCTTTCCAGACACTGAAGTACAATCACTCTCATTCTCATTTCTCACCTATTTGGATTTTTGAAAATCCTCATTCTCACTATTCAAACTCTTCAAATTTTGAAGCCTCTGTCATCAACTAATGGTGGAAGTTGCTGAAGCACTGCTATTCAAAGCTGAGACTGTCCCAGCTGAAGATCTTAACAGAAATGCCATGGTACAAAGATTGAGACAGAAACAAAACTGTTTATTGACAGCAAGAACACCAGACAATTCACTGAAAATCTGCAGCATTCAATTCAAAGTCAGAATTTTTGTATTTCTTCACTATGAATTGTCTTTCATGAAACAAATAAAGAAAAATCTTTTGTTCCTGTTAGTAGTATAGATAGTCACATTCAATAAAAAGAACTTTTCTACACCATCAATCTGTACAATCTTTCAAAGAAAGCTGGAGACTGTGATGTAAGAATCAGTCAAGACAGGGTGAATATTGTTGTAGTTAGACAGAGAATCTCAAAAACTGACAACTGTTAGAATACAACAATGAGAAATATCATTAAAGTAGAGATCAGATCAAGTCAAAACATTCATGCAGACATGAAGTACTGGAACATGACAGCCATCATTCTCAACAGTCTGTATTCCAATGTGCATATCACTCATGCAAACAATAACACTCTCTCAACAAAGACAGTATAAAGTTGGTGAGAAATAGATGATAGACACCTCAAAGTTCTCAATAGACTTGAGAAAGAAGAGATTGTAGCTGCTTCAAAGCCAAGCAGAGATGGAAGAGAATCAGTCAGCACTAACTTGAGTGTTCTTCTTACACTCAAGAATATTAGAGAAGAAACAAATAGTGGTAAGAAAAGACATATTTGCAAAGCAGACAAATGAGATGTGAATAATAATAAATAGAGTAATAGCTGAAGCAAATCAAGTTATAGTCAAAATAATTTGAGTAGTCAAATTTGAGAAGACAAAAAAAGAGAATTCTTGAATAGAAAAGTAGTGGTTCTTATAATACATCTAATAAAAAACATCAAGAATCTCTGAATAGACAATATTCTCAATCTGCTAATTCTCAGAGTCTTCAGATAATAGAATAGAAACATGATCTACATCAACAGCTCAAAAAAACACAACATAGAACTGCTCATGAGTGAAGACAGATCATCAAAGATTCACTTCAACATTATTATCAAACTTGTTGTTCAATGTAACAAATTGAGGCTTTTAGTGATCAATACTCCAATGGTGCTTGATCTTAAGTTGGTGGACTTCTTCAATGATAAAGAGTTTTCATACAGATACATCAGAATTGAGTCAAGATTATTATGTCTCTTCAAGAGTAGTGAGAGCAGATATAATCATACAGTATCACAGAACTTTAATGATATGAAAAGTAATCAAGATATGATGGTATCCATATAGATAAATCTATAGAGAGGATTATAAGAGAGATTAATCACAATGAATAAATTCATCTGATCAACAGTGAAGAGCATTCTTATATATATGATGAATATTGTGAATAGTCTGAGCAGTCCCTTCTATTCTTCTGTTCACTAGTCAGAATAGTTATAACTATTCTGACTATCCAGCTATTCATCAGTTGAGATAGTTACTACTATTTTTGTTAGGACCTGATGTGGAGTGGTAAAGAAGCATCAGAGTTGGGGACATGTGACCAGGTTCTCCAGATTACTGCTGTTAGTAGAGCAAGGGCTCAGGGCAAGAAGGTATATATTGCATGATCACCCCAGACTCCTCTTTCCTTCACCATGTTTAGTATTTTTGAATTAGATCTATCTAGTATAGCAGTTTATTAGATTCTTCTTCTTCTATTCTTGCACCTAGCCTGAGGTTGTATCATAATACTAAACATTGTCTTACTTTGCCCTTTTTGAAGCCTTTCAGTTAAAAGGTTTCAAGCAGTGTTGATCATGGCTTTGAGTGTGTCAGCATCTGCAAACAATCCAAACTTACCATCATTGAAGAATCAGCTGTTGGATCTTTTCTTGTATCAGTGGATTGACCTAGCCCCAAGCTCACAAGAGGGCAACACCAACTGAGTTTCTTTTGAACACTTTAACACCACTGTGGAACAGAACACATGAGTGGTCTATGATGGAATCAGCAGCACAATTCATGAAACTTGAGTGCACAGCAAACAAATCAGATGGGAAGCTCAGAATCAGATCAGTGTTCTGAAGGAATAAGTGGCTGCTCTGATGGAGGAACAAGATCAATATAAAGAAGCATGTGTGACTGCATTGCTGGACATGCTGGAATGAGAAAGCACTCCTGCTCATGTAACTGAATTCAGAGAAAAGTGATTGGTCAAGATTGATGACCCCAAGCACCTCACAGATGGAAAGAAACCCAAGTTTGAGCATTGGCTTTCCAGGATGAAGAATAAACTGTGAGAGAATGCAGATCACTTCCCCACAGAAACCAGCAAGATCATCTATGTTGAGAATCAAACTGATTGGAATGCTGCATGTCACATTGCTCCCTGCATGTAAGAAGAACACCTGAAACATTACCAAACAGCAGAGGAAGTGTTCAAACACTTGAAGAAAATCTATGAGAATCTGAACAAGCTCCTCAATGCAATGAATGACTACCATTGACTGGTCATGAGAAACAATGATGATTATCATGAATTTATTACCAAGTTCCTGCACTTGATGGGAGAAGCAGAGGTATCCAAGGAAGATTACAAGAATGACTTCATGAACAAGCTATCTCAAGAAATGCAGAAAGCAGTGACTGCTGTTCATGCCATCACCAGAATCTTTAGTGAATTTCAGAAAATCTGCTTGCACACTGCTTGCACCCTGAAGGGGATTCAGACTGCCATCAACCACTGAAACCCTGCTGAAACAGCTGCTCACAATGCAGGACAGTAAGTCAAAAGTCCCACACCCAGCTATGAGAGCACTGTGACCCCAGCCCCTGAGAACAAGAACTTGCTGAGATCAATTGTGTGCCACAATTGCAAAGGTCTCAGCCACATGAAACACAATTGCCCATACAAAAACAAGACACCATAGGGTTTAGTAGTCTTCATTCTGGGCAGAAAAGTATCATTAGAGAAGCTGGATTTAAGCAACTTAGTGGGAGGACAGCCATTCCTTGTATGTTGCAAATTAGCATTGAACAGAGTTGCAATCCCAGCCAATTCTCTTATTGATACTGAAGTGAATGATTCAATTTTCATTGACAGATGACTAGCAGTGAACATGGTTTGAACCTATGGTGGAAATACCCACCAATTGTCAGGGATGTGCAGTACCAGAGGCTTTGATGGGAATGCTGGATCACCCATCACACATCTTGCCTTCTTCCACCTGTGGTTGGACAGCTGTTGATTCAAAAATGTCTCTATACTGATTGCTAATTTGGGACAACATCTCTTGATCATTGGACAGAAATGACTGGCAGATCACAATGTCTGCTTCAATATGGCTGGTCAGAGATTGCTCTGGCTGGAGGAGCCTTCAGCAAAGAATGCTGTGCTGGCAGTGATATCAAAGTCAGTACCATGGAGAATCCTACAGCAACCCAAACTGGACCCACAGCACCAAGAGAAAGCAGACTGTTGAGACAAATTGATAGAACTTGAGATCACACATGAGTGACAAAATCACTGGGAAGAACACAGACAATTGAAGAAAGGTCCTGCTGGTGAGGCTTATACCTTAGACCAATTAAAAGTGCCTCAAGAAACACTGAAAAAGCAAAATAATCAGTACCTCCATCAATACAAGAAAATGAACATGGCATTTATTGGCACAGCAGCATACCATCAACACATGAAAAAGACACCTGGTAACTGTCACATGACTTCACTTCAGGAAATTGACAGGCTAATGGATGAAAAGTGGAAAGACATCAATGAAGTGGATGAAGATGATGAGAAGATTGATATTGATGAAAAGCTCTCAAAGATCTACAAGTAACTTTGGGATGTGTTCTCAAAGAAGATCTCAGACCAGTTGCTGCTGCACCACAAAAGAATGGACTAGAAGATTGACCTTCTACCTGAAGCAGATCTGAACAGGGACATAGACTGAGCACCACTGTACAAAATGAGTATGAAAGAACTGAAAACAGTCAAGAAATACTTGGTGGCAAATCTGAAAAAGAGATTCATTGTACCAACAACTGCACTCTTCACATCACCAATTCTCATTGCACACAATGGAGCAAAACTGTGCTTCTGTGTCAATTTCCACAAGTTGAATGCAATCTCAAAATATGATCAATATCTTTTCCTCTTGATTGATGAGCTGATGGATCAGCTGAATGAAGCAAAGTATTTCACCAAGCTCAACATCTGTCAAGAATTCCACAGAATCCATATGAGTGAGGAATCAGAGGACTTGACCAGTTTGTGAACACAGTATGAATCATCCAAATACCATGTGGTTCCATTTGAACTCATAAATGAATCTGGAGTCTTTCAGCAATACATCAATTCAATCTTCTTTGATTGTCTGGATGATTTTATGATGGGATTTGTGGATGATCTGTTAATTTACAGCAAGATCAAGAAGAAGCACAAGAAGCAGGTGAAAAATGTTTTTCAATGATTGAGAGAAGCTGGGCTACAGACCAGTATCAACAAGAGTAAATTCAGTGTGCAGTGCACCAAATATCTAGAGTTCATTATCACCACAGAACGCATTGAGATGGATCCAGAAAAAACAGCTGTTATCATCAAGTGGACTGAACCATCAACAGTTCAGAGAGTATTGTCATTTTTGGGATTCTGCAATTTCTACTGCCATTTTGTAAAGTTCTACAACCACATAGTCAAGCTTCTTTACTGACTCACCAAGAAGGACCAGCCTTTTCTTTGGAGCAGCAATTGTCAGACAGTCTTCAACAAGCTGAAGGAAATGCTCATCAGTGCTCCAGTACTGTGCCACTATAACTCAAACTGAGAAACAAGAATTGAAACTGACACATTGGATGAGACAATTGCTGGAGTTCTATTGCAACAGTTTGAGAATGGACAATGGCATCCAGTGGCATTCTACTCCTCTTCAATGAGTGCACTGGAAAGGAATTATGAAATACATGACAAGAAAATGTTGGTGGTGGTGCATGCTCTGACAGAATGGCAAGTCAAACTGAAAGAACTGCAGCAGGAAGAAAGATTCCAAATTCTTACAGACCATCAGGCATTGGAGTATTTCATGACAATCAAGAAGCTGAACACCAGACAGACCCAATGGGCTGAATTCCTTTCATGTTTTTATTTCAAGATCAAGTCTCAACTGGGCAAGGAGAACACACTGGCAGATGCCCTCAATTGATCTAAGACAAGAGTTGGAACAGACAAGCTCAGAACATGAATCCTGCTTAGGCTGGAATGCTTGAACTCTAGAATCAGAACTGAACTGGAGGGCAAGCAGCCAAGAGAGGCAGCACAGACAACAGAAGAGTCAGAAACTGCAGCACAGCTGAATGAAATTGAAGAAACAGATCAAGCAGTTGTCAACTGAGTTGTTGTGGCCAACCAAACCACAGAATCACTGGAGCCCCTGCAATTGAAGACTAGCTGGGGAGAGAGGCCATGGAGCCTGACAAGTGAAGACCTTCTATGTTATGAAGGCTGATTGATGATCCCCACTGAAGTGGACCCATCCCTACCAGCACAGCTAATCAAGAAAACTCATGAGCAGCCATCAGTGACCCATCCAGACAAAAAGAAGATTTGAGTCCTGATCAAGAAATGGTATTACTGGCCAACATTGCAGCAGGACACAGACTGTTATGTGGATAACTGCTGAGTTTGTTGATGAACCAAGATACCAAGAGAAAAGACACCAGGACTACTGAAACCACTACCAATTCCCCACCATGCATGGCAGCACATCTCAATGGATTTCATGGATGCCCCCATGACAAAATGGAAGCACAATGCAATCTTGGTCATTGTATGTAGACTGAGCAAGAAACCCATCTCAATCCCAACCACAAGAAGAGTTGACGCGTGCAAGCTTGCAAGATTATTCACAGAGCATTACTACCAACACTATGAAGCACCAGACTTGATTGTATCTGACTGAGGACCTCAGTTTGTATCTGACTTCTAAGAAGAGTTTACCAAAATCCTGAGAATCAAGCTGAAACTTTCTACAGCACACCACCCACAAACAGATGGTCAGACTGAAATTATCAATCAGTATCAAGCAACCCTGTTGCAATCATATGTAAGTCACTACCAAGACAATTGGGATGATTTATTGCCCATCATGGACCATGCTACAGCTGTCACAGTGCATGCTTCAACAGGTGCATTCCCCTTCCTAGTGGCAAATGGCTATGAGCCATGGACATCTTTTGACTGGCAGCCTTTACCAGACAGAGTGTCACACACTGAGTGCTTAAACCATCAGGAGGCACAGAACCAAGTGTGGGCTTTTGAAAAAGTATTGAAGTTCATACAGCAGAGAGTGTGGAAGGCTCAGGAAACAATAGAGAAACAGGCCAACCATCACTGTTGGGAGCCCAACTTTGAGGTAGAGGACCAGGTCTACTTGGCCCTACACAACTATCCAGTAGACCACCCAAGCAGAAAACTGGCAGAGCAGAACACTGAACTCTTCCCAGTGGTGGAGAAGATAGGAAACAGCTACTGTCTGAAACTACCCTCAAGCATGAAGATACACCCTGTATTCTCTCCAGATAAACTTCACCAAGCAGCAACATACCCTCTACTGGGATAAGAGTATGAGGAGCCAGAGCCATTGGTCATCAATGGGGAAAATGAATGGGAGGTGGAGCAAATCCTGACAAGCTGGATTCACCAGGGAAAGTTGCACTACTGAGTCAAATGGTTGGGATATGACCATGACCTGCAGTGGTACCCAGCGCGGAATTTTAAGGACTCACCACATGGGTTAATGAATTACCACTAAAGCAACCTGCAGAAACCAGGACCCCTGAAATGACTGATGGAATGGCTGGAGGCATGGGAGAGTGAGGAAAATGTACCAGAACACGCGGCTGATGACTTGCCAAGGACATGAAACAAGAAGGTTTATCATCAGGGTGTCTGACATGAGGACATGCCTGAGTTTTCCAAAGAGTAATGTTAGGGCCTGGCACAGAGTGATAAAGAAGCATCAGACTTGTGAGCAGGTTCTCCAGGTGACTGCTGTTAGTAGGGTAAGGGCTCAGGGCAAGAGAGTATATATTGCACAATCACCCCAGACCCCTCTTTTCTTCACTATGTTTAGTATTTTGAATTAGACCTACCTAGTATGGCAGTTTATTAGATTCTTCTTCTTCTATTCTTGCACCTAGCCTGAGGTTGTATCAATTTTGACTATTCAATTATGTGACTTTCATCTTCTTAGATTCTAGTTCTTTCAATCTGTAACTCTCATAGTCTCATCATACTTCACTTTCCAGTCACATCCTCTATATGCTCTTTCAATAGCATGTAATGATTCTGTACTGTGCCACAAGATTTATAACATCATTCCCTTCTTTTTTAGCATGTTGTCATCAATTGCTTGCACTCTCTTTTGAGTATAAAAATTGATTGTCTTCTTATTTTATTTTCAAAAAAACTTTCTTTCTGTAAGTGAATGTTCTTATGACTCTGTTGCCATAGCTTCAAAGTCTTCTCACAATAACAAGCATCTAGCTTTCAAAATTGAAGAAATTGATGTCATGATGTCTTCTCACTGCATTTATTGTTCTCATCATGATAAGGAGTGTGTTTATTTCAAGAAGTTAATAAAGTGCTTCAAATGTTGTCAACTCAATAATTATTGTGTTGTTGACTCTGCAGCTTCCAATCATGATTGATGAAATCCTAAAGCTGCTTGCAATAAACTTGAACTTGAAGAGACAAAAGTCTTTAAGACTGTTCAAGCCACCTCTGTCAAACTTCTTCATCTTCAAAAACAAAAACATCTTCTTTGTGATCATGTAGGCAAATTTCTTAAATCAGATCTTCAGTTATTGAAGAAGTTGAAGCATCTCAAGAAGAAAAATCAAAAGAGAGTGGCTGAGCAAGCAGAAATTCAATAACATCTTGCTTTATTAGATAATTTTTCTTCATTGAAATTGCTTTCTGAATTCTTCTTTTCATTCATTAATGCTCTCTTAAATGAGAACATCATTAATAATATGTCTCAACAAATCTTCCAGACATTCATAAGATTCTTCACTGATTTTCATATGTTTTCTGAGGTATCATACTCTTTTCATTTCACTAGATAGTGAAGTTTTTTACTGATTGTTTGATGGTTCAGTATTTGTTCAACTTCATATTCTTGTTCATCATTGATTTCTGTGAGCATTTCTTTAGCATGTAGCAGTGCTTTTTTCAGTAATGAAACATGAAATACAGAGTATATTTTCATCTTCTTTAATAATCATAGTCTGTAGTTGATCTTTCCAATCCACTTTTCAATCTTGTATGATTCCAGTTGCTTAAAATCAAGTTTTTCATTCAGTCTTTTCATCTTGATATTTTGTCAGAGTAGAAATACTTTCTCTCTCTTCTTTAAGATAGGTGCCTCCTGATGTCTCTGATCATAGTAATACTTTATTCTTTTTTGTAAGAATTCAATGTCCATCTTCATGTGATCTTGCAATTCTTTCAGTTGTTTTGCAGTAAGCTCTGCTTCTTAGCCTCTATATTGTGCAATTCTTAATTGTTGTTGTATCTCTGACTTTCTGCTGTAATTCATATAGAATGATGTCAGTTTTATTGTAGTGTTCTTTGACTCATTATATGCTAGTTGTGTCATAAGTAGCAGTTCAATTCAGTTGTTTTGTTACTAGTTCACATATTCTTGCAGATATTGCTGCAAGATCTGATTTAATTATTCTGTTTGACTGTTCATCTGTGAGTGATAGACTGTTGACATCTTTTATTCAATCTCTAGTAGTGTCATTAATGTTGTTCAGAATTTGCTCATGAATCTTGTATCTCTGTCTGTAATTATTTCTTCTGACAATCTGTGATTGATAATCACTATTTTTAATACTGTCTGTGCTGTTTCTGATGTGTCTGTTGTTTCTTTAAACAGTATAAAGAATCTGTATTTTATTAATCTGTCAGTAATCACTAGTATTGCATTGTACTTCTTTTCATCCATATTCTTTAATTTTGAGAGTTTCATAATGAAATCCATCACTATAAATTTCCATGATTCTTGTAATTGTGGTATTGACTGAAGTTTTCTGTGTGGTCATTGATTGTTGGTTTTGCTTCATGCACATGTCTCACATTCTTTGACATGTTGTCAAATGTCTATTCACATTTCTGATCAATAGTACATTCTTGTGATCTTCTTTATTGTCTTATTAATGTCAAAGTGTTCTGAAGTGACTGTGTCATATTCTTGTATCATCACTTCTTTTCTGA